GGGGGGGGGGGCGGTCAGGAGATGGGGATAAACGGTCACAAAAATTTGCAATCACAATATAATTTGGTTATGAGGACAGTAGTATAGCATGGAGAATACAGTAAATGATTTTGTAACATCTTACTACATTGATAGATAGTGACTGCACTAGAGGGGAGTGAAGATTTAATATTATGGATAACTGTTGAACACTGTGTTGTATATTTGAAACCAACATAAGATTGTACAGCAATGACCTTTTAATTAAAAAATTGTTGGAATGGGAAAAATAGAGAAAATATGGTATAAAGATAGCAGGCAACACTCAGAGTAGGATGCTTGTAAGTGGGATTTGAAAGTGGTATGGTTATCAGAAATGACAAGAGAAGTGAGAAGAAAATTATCTTTGGACGTAAGAAACAAGGTATTGGATTGGATTGGTTTTTGATGTAGAAATCACTAGGAATGATGAAAAGACTTGAAATAAAAGACAGTGAGTCAAATCTCAAAATCCTAAGAGGAGGATCACAGATGACTGCCAAAGACCAAGGAGAATTTCATCCAGTGGCGTATATTTCAAGGAGCTAGAGTGTTTAGGAAGAACAGTGGCCTAGAAGGAGCGAGGAAAACAAGAACACCCATCCTGCTCCCTGACCCTGTTTGTCTGTGGGGCGAGGAGGAGGAGCCTTGACACGCGGGCCGCAAAGGCAGCAGCACACTGGGAGAGTGCCAGGCATCAGTGAGACCTCGGACTCAACAATACCATCCAAATTGGCTAATGTTCACTTTGGGAACCACGTAAAGATGATCTCACTGCTACTGCCACAGAACACTGTTACACTCTCTTCTCATGAGCTAGTTTCATTTAGATACTTTGAAAGATACATTATAAAATGTTCAGTCTTTACCTTCCTGTTGTAACTGAGCCAAGAAAAGTGCAAGGTATGTGTCTGATATTAATTCTGGACCCGTCAAGAGAGAATTCAAGTTGAACCACTGGAAAAAAATTGTCAATGTTTAAGTTAGTGTACATTACAACTAAAATATCACATAATAAGGAAAGATATAACCCATCTAAACTTAGTAAAACTGTCTAAATACTGGAAACATGTCAAAGTGCATTTTAAAGTAATTAAATAATGTGATCTTAAAAACCTGAAATAGAATGCTGTAGATTTATTATTACTAATTGCTTTTATAAAAATAAAAGTTGGCCTTGAGCCATAACTGGAAATCCCTCCCCCAAAAATACATTGATAGATAATGACTACACAAAAGTGTCTTATTGATAGCAAAAATTCTTTTTTTCCCCCCTCAAAGTATCAGTAAACTCTAATCTAATCACATTATATTGATGTGACTGCTAAGTTTTGGTCAAGAGATTTCAATTGTGAGAAAGGCAGACATTCTAGGAAAGGAGTATGTACTCACCAACTCATTTCAAAAAGGTCCCAAAGCCACTACTGCATGTAATTAACATCACTTAGTCACAACTACATAGGAGTCCTAATTTAACTCACAAGATTTGAAAGTTTCAAAAATTACTGTCAGCATCATGAGCAACTACTTTTCCTGGATTTTGACAGAGATGATAATGTTTTTTTCAGTCATCTTTTTCATTACACAGGGACCTCAGACAAAAGAGTCTACAGTGAAAACTACAATTTTAAACAGAAGTATGAATTTGAGCCAAAGATAAGACAAAGTTTGACACTTCCTATATTTGCCAAAGATAAGGTAATTTAAAATGTGAAGTTTCTATTTTGAAGAACTAAAATTTCAAAAACTTTCAAAATAGTAAGTTTCTATGCAAATCAAATACAAAGGAACTTTTGGAATCTATGACATTAGATCTTAAACATCTCCAGTGATTATACAGACAAATACTTGGTTTTGATTTCTTTTTTATATTGGTATAATTAATATAAAACCACATGGGCAACATTGTAGTTACTAGATTCCCCCCATTATCAAGTCCCCACCAAATAGCCTATTAGTCACTGTCCATCAGCGTAGTAAGATGCTATAGAGTCACTACTTGTCTTCTCTGTGCTATACTGCCTTCCCCGTGCCCCACCTACGTTATGTGTGCTAATGTTAATGCCTTTATTCGCCTTCTCCCTCCCTTCCCACCCACCCTCCCCAGTCCCTTTCCCTTTGGTAACTGTCCATTCTTGGGTTCTGTGAGTCTGCTGCTGTTTTGTTTCTTCAGTTTTTGCTTTGTTCTTATGCTCCACAGATGAGTGCAATCATTTGGTACTTGTCTTTCTCTGCCTGGCTTATTTCACTGAGCATAATACCTTCTAGTTCCCTCCATGTTGTTGCAAATGGTAGGACTTGTTTTCTTCTTGTGCCTGAATAATATTTCATTGTGTATATGTACCACATCTTCTTTTTCCATTCATCTACTGATGGGCACTTAGGTTGCTTCCATTTCTTGGCTGTTGTAAATAGTGCTGCGATAAACATAGTGGTGCATATGTCTTCTTGAAACTGGGATCCTACATTCTCTTGATAAATTCCTAGAAGTGAAATTCCTTGGGTCAAATGTTATTTCTACTTTGAGTTTTTTGAGGAACCTCCATATTGCTTTCCACAGTGGTTGAACTAGTGTACATTCCCACCAGCAGTGTAGGAGGGTTCCCCCTCTCACATCCTCATGAGCACTTGTTGCTCCTAGTCTTTTCTATGTTGGCCATCCAAACTGGTGTGAGATGATATTTCACTGTGGTTATAATTTGCATTTCCCTGATAATTAGCGATGTGGAGCATCTTTTCATGTGCTTGTTGGCCATTGAATTTCTTCTTTGGAGAAGTGTCTGTTCATATCCTGTGTCCATTTGTTAAGCGGGTTATTTGCTTTTTTGGGTATTGAGGCATGTGAGTTCTTTATATATTTTGGATGTTAACCTCTTGTCAGATATGTCATTTACAAATACATTCTCCCATACTGTAGGATGACTTTTTGTTCTGCTGATGATGTTCTTTGCTGTACAGAAGCTTTTTAGCATGATGTAATCCCATGTGTTCATTTTTTATTGTTTCCCTTGCTTGAGGAGATGCATTCAGTAAAAAGTTGCTCATGTTTATATTCAAGAGATTTTTGCCTATGACTTACATTCAGGTCTTTGATCCATTTTGAGTTTACTTTTGTGTATGGGGTTAGACAATAATCCAGTTTCATTCTCTCACATGTAGCTGTCCAGTTTTGTCAACACCAGTTGTTGAAGAGGCTGTCATTCCCCCATTGCATATCCATGGCTCCTTTATTGGATATTAATTGACCATATATGCTTGGGTTTATATCTGGGCTCTCTAGCCTGTTCCATTGGTCTGTGGGTCTGTTCTTGTGCCAGTACCAATTGTCTTGATTATTGTAGCTTTGCAGTAGAACTTAAAGTTGGGGAACGTAATACCCCCCTGCTTTATTCTTCCTTCTCAGGATTGCTTTGGGCATTCGGGGTCTTTTATGGTCCCGTATGAATTTTAGAACTATTTGCTCTTGTTCATTGAAGAATGCTGTTGGTATTTTGATAGGGATTGCATTGAATCTGTAGATTGCTTTAGGCAGGATGGCCATTTTGACAATATTAATTCTTCCAATCCATGAGCACGGGATGTGTTTCCATTTATTGGTTTTTTTCTTTAATTTCTCTCATGAGTGTCTTGTAGTTTTCAGAGTATAAGTCTTTCACTTCCTTGGTTAGGTTTATTCCTAGGTATTTTATTCTTTTTGATGCAATTGTGAATGGAATTGTTTTCCTGATTTCTCTTTCTGCTACTTCATCATTAGTGTATAGGAATGCAACAGATTTCTGTGTATTAATTTTGTATCCTGCAATTTTGCTCAATTCACATATTAGATCTAGTAGTTTTGGAGTGGATTCTTTAGGGTTTTTTATGTACCATATCATATCATCTGCAAACACTTGGTCATGATTTTTTAAAGCTATAAATAAAACCCAGAGTTTAAATCATCTCAGCAAAGTCCTGCCCTGGTTTTACTGCTGAGTTGATTCCTACTTGGGTCAGTCTGTACTGCACCACACCTTCCTACTTGATCTCAGCTCCTCAGGAGGGACATAAGAAATAACTATCTAAGATGAAGGCCTAGGCAGCTGAATTAAAATATAATAGCAGGTTTTGGGTTTTGATTTACTTTTTATAGATTTAATTCAATGTATTCTTTCTTGATTTCATTTTTTTTTGCTTTTTATTATTTTAGTTTTGAAAACAGCTCCATTGAGGTATAATTGACATATAATAAACTGCACATATTTAAAGAGTATTATTTGAAAAGTTCTAACTTAAGTATACTCCCATGAAACCATCACCAAAACCAAAAGAGTGACCATATTCCCCACTGCCAAGTTTCCCATACCCCTTATAATCCTTTCAGTCTTTGTCTCCTCCTCCCAGGGCAACTACTGCTCCTCCATCTGTTTTGTCACTGTGACTAGTTTTCATTTTCTAGACTTCTATATAAATGGAGAGCCATACAGCATGTAGTAGCCTGTGTCTACCTTCTTTCATTCAGCATAATCATTTTGACATTTATCCATGTTATGTGTATCAATAGTTCACTTCTTTTTACTGTATTAGCCATTTTCAGTAACTCTCCTTTAAAGATTCAAAATTATAATAAAAAAGATTTTAAAGAATTCTGTTTCAAAATGGTACTATGTATACAAAGATAACTGGCAATTATTTCTAAAAATAACAGTTTAGCTACATTTCTTGATCTTAAGAAAGGTTCATCACAATGTAAGTTGGTCATGGGGATGGTAGTACAGCATGGAGAATATACAGCCAACAATTCTGTAAATCTTACTACACTGATAGATAGTAACTGCATTAGAGGGGGTGAGGATTTAATAATATGAATAACTGTTGAAGCACTGTGTTGTATATTTAAAACCAACATATGACTGTATATCAATGATACTTTAATAAATAAAAAAGAAAGGCTTGCTTAAGACATATTCCATGTTTTTTTTTAATGGCAATCATATTGTGTAGATGTATATATTACATGGCATTTTGGAATGTGAAAAATCTTGTTATGCTAAAGCAAACACAGTTGAAAACTTTTATTCATGGTGGACACTATTTCAGGTTGTGTGACACTACTGTGATAAATACAAATCTGTAAAAGTAATGGTTTACTGACAGAATTTCTTTAACATACAAACCACTTAAAAGTAGCCATGCTTGTATTGTCTTAACTAAAGAATTTTCCTTATAATACAGTTAAATTGTTTATGATTGTCACAAATAAACCTCTAAAGGAAACTAATACTATCTTTTAAAATAGCAAATTTCTACCTACCAAGATCAAAATCATGCCATAACACACATTACTGGTGAATTCAAGGCATGAATTCCTTACATTTTAGTTGCAAATGGAGTGCAGAATGAGGAAAAAAAGGGAAGAAGAAACATTACCTGTTTTCCTAATTTTCTAACTGTAAACCAGTGTTCTTTATAATTGCATATAAATGATCTTTCATTTCTAGAAAATGAAAAAAGTACATACACAATATTAATTTGAAACAGTACTCATATTCATTTAGTTTGTCCAATGGCAAATATTATACAAAGTTATCATTCAGGATGTTTACAGTTAAGTATCACTGACTTTTAAAAAATTACAAAACAGTATGCCTCTTTCTGCAGATTAGCGATGCCATGCAAAAATGATGGCATCTCACGCCATTCAAGGATCAGCTATGTCTGCCAGACACTGAGGTGTCAGAAAGGCTCAGTAGGCAGATGTTCATGGACATCCACAAAAGGTGAAATAGGAAAATCTGAGGGAATGAAACAGGGAACACCAAAACAAAAGCATTCAAAACATATTTTCCTTCTTTGAAAAATTATAACTTTAAAAATCAAATTTAGGAAATGTAAGAAAAGCAAAGTGAAATCTTACATGGGATCGACTCTGAGCCTCTGGTACTCCGGACTGTTGAACAGGATTAGTTCTAAACCCCAAACTTTCAGGGCATTGCTTATCACCTGTTAAAATAATAGCAACTTTTCATGAGCAAAACCCTTCAATTCCAAATTTAAGTAGTGTAGCCATGTTGGTTGAATGAACAATTGTATTTCATATATAAATTCTCCAGAAGGCTATTGTTTTAAAAGTGTGTGTGTGTGTGTACAGATACATCACTAAATCCATAAATAACACACAAATAGCATTAACAGTACTTTTTCCACTAGGTTTCTGCAACATTCTGGAGAATTACACAACTCCTAGATAAAACTGCCTCAAAAACCAAGAGTTATATCCATCCTATCCAGTAACTAGTCCACTACATGCGATAATTTGGTTGCTATGGGTCCTGCTTTAGAAAAGTTATATTCTATTCACTAAGTGATCCGTCATTAAAATGATTTTATGTCTTTTAAAAAGAGTTCTTTCTGGAGATTTAAACTGAAGCTTTCATAGATTTTAAACTTCTATTATCACGAGTTTGTACTTTGTGGAAAAAAAACAAAACAAAAGATAAATCTGATTATTTCAATTCAAACTGGAAAAAAAGGGAAATTTCTGAAAATTCACTATCTAGCCTCTAAGACAGCCCCCAACACAGCAACCAAGCCAGGTCCTAGCAGACAATAGTGAATGCAGTGTGGCAGGGAAGTGCATTGGCACCAACGGCAGCACCACACAGCTGGGAAACAGCAAGTAGGGACTTGGCTTGGGCCTCTAATACGGGCCTGTTACCCACAATGTCCACAGTGAAGCACTGGGTGGAAACACTGGTGAATGGGAAGTCCAGGTGGCAGGACAAGGGGAATGCACACAGAGAATTCGCAGAAACAGATCCCTCAAAAGAGGTTCTGAAAGAACTCTGGATACACCTCTGAAGTGTTACAAACAGAATAAAAGACCCACAGGTAAGATAAAAGAATTCCACAAGTACATTCATTCATAGAATTCAAGAGGAGCTAAAAGTTTAAAAAAAGAAAAAATAAATAAAGCCATAGACCATAGTAATCCAATCCAATCCAGGTAAGCTGATTTAAATGGAAGGTAGTGAGGTGTTGCACTGTGTCAAATTTACACAAGAGATAGTAAGTTGAAAACACTGACTTACTGGAACTACCTGGTTATTAGCACAAAATGCAAGTTAAATACTCTCTTTTCAAAAAGCTTTACTCTAAATTGAAGATTTTATAATCCTAACTTTCATATTTATCTATATGAAAATCTAGCACTCTATAGTCTTACTCTGTTAGACACACAGTCTATTGGAGGAATTTCTGAAGGTTACATCATGACAGTGACTATGAAAGGCTGTGAAAAGATACTCAGCTTAACAGTGCCTGGGACATAAACAACACTTTGTACATGCTTGTCACTACTTACTTGAATAGAGAAAAAACCACTGTCATCCATATTTCCAGAAGGCTGCTGTGGAATTTGGACAGGTAATTGAGGTGGAGGTTGAGGGTGGGGAGAGAAGGATAAAATTGTCATTAGTGTGCATATTTAAAATAACATCCTGTGCATTTCCCAAGAGCAAAGTTATAATTAACAAGTCAGATCCCCGTAGGAATAGTTCATTCTTTTCTCAGCAATATCCACATTTTTTTAAAAACATGACTCTGTAAGTTTAAAACCAATACCTGTAAAAACGTGCGATAGTCTTCACTGGTAACTCCTCCTTCTGCCATCCTCATCCTCTCTTCTTCATCAAGCTGATGTGCAATTGAAGATAATTCCACAGGGCTGAAATATTCTCCTTGCAACAGATTATTCAAGCAATGCTGAGCACAGAGTGAGCCTTCTTGCTGGTATTTCCAAAACAAAGATTCAAATGTGATTTGTTAAACAGATTTTGTACAGCATCATCCCCTAAACAGGAATTTAATTGTTATCTTAACATAGCCTTTAAGAATCATGTATTTTAAACATTATCTAGCATCTATCAAATATACAAAATCTCCTATTTTACTAAAAACTATTCTGTAAAAACACTTAGTCTCCCTCATAGTACGTACCAAAATAAACACATCTTTGGAGATTCCATGGCAAATTACTAATGCTGAAAGGGAATTTTAATCCCTAGAACGTTTGCTCTGTTAACACAATAATCTTGACCCGATCTAAATGCTTGTTCATGGAATTCAAATCCAAATGAAGAAAACAAATGAAAATCAAGAACTGATATAGGTAAGAAAAAATCTGTTTGATGCTAAGGAAGATTTGTAACTACAGTGCCAAAATTCTCTTCAGGGAACCTCACAGATAACGTATGCGCAGGGTGGTACAGTCAGCCAAAGTGTCCAAAAACCACCACTGGAGCTCATTTCCGGACAAGCCAGCAAGGGGCTGCATGGAAGCTCAGCTCCCCATGGGATCACTGGCGTCCATTCATAGCGGGGTGGGAGGGTGGGAGTACAACTTCGCACGGAATCCAGGGTCTGCAGCAGCTGGGCAGGTGACTTTCTCATACAACTGATACCCTAAATCCAAATCCAGGCTGCCTGGCACCAAGCAGCCTGCTTTTTACCCCTCTCCCCACAACAGTGCTACTTTCCCATGCCTGACCTGTAAAAATGGAGACTCAAGGGTCTTGTACCCATTTTCAATAGAATACAATTGAATGAATAATGAGACCCTTCCCTGTGAATATCAACACCAAGTTTGCCTTTCTGTGGGATGATGGTAGATGTAAGAACACTTTCTTCTCCTGCTAACCCTGGCCCTCTAAGTTTTCCCTTTCCCCAAAAAAGTCTATTCCTTAACCTAGCCTGTCTGACTTTGTGCAATTTGTTCTGGGCTATATTACACAATAGATGGTGACCCCTAAGAGCAATACTTGGCAAGTTTTCCTGATGAATTAGTTTTCAAGCAAGAAAATTCCACTGCTGAAAAGATATAGGGTATATGTATATAATGCCATAGAAAGGCAGCATTGAGACAGTCTGAGTGTGACACAGGGCTGATATAGGTTTATCTTCAAATTTCGGTATGGAGTAATTTGCCTGAAGCTAAAGAAGACACCAGCTGTCACTCAAGTCACTGCCACAATGGTGAGAGAGGTCTTGTTTTCATCTCTTTTTCCTTCTACAGTATTCCTACTGGCAGAAGCCAATTCTCAATGAATAGCAGAAGGGCTACACAAACATCCTATTTATATACTACTGAAAAACAGGTAAGAGAAACAAGTATTCACAACAGGATAGCCAGATGGCTAAAATACACAAACGGTGTTCAACTTCGCAGCCCATCAGGAAAGAGTATATTAAAACCACATTTTTTTACTATTTAATATTTTAAATATTACTACACACTCTCCAGAATGGCTAAAACATTGCAGAGGATTAGAGACATAAAACAATCATAGGCTACTGGTGGAAGTACAAATTAATATAACCACTTTGGAAAACTGTATGGAGTAGCTACTTAAGCTTAACATATAGCCACCCTATGATCTGGCAATTCCACTGCTACGTAGATAATGCAAACAACAGAAATGCAAACATACATTCATCAGAAGACATGTATAACAATGTTCACAGAAGCACTAATCATAATGACACCCAGACTGGAAACTACCCAAATGCCCTTCAGAGTAAAATGGATGAATTATGTTATATCACAAAGGAATACTACGTAACAATGGGAATGAATTAAACTACCTGTAATAATATGGATCAATCTTTCAATGTGAAGTGAAAGACTCAAAAGAGCTCATACTGTACAATTCCATTAACAAGGACAGAAAAATGGGCAAAACTTATCTATGATGTTAGAATTCAGGATTGCACAGGAGTGGAGATGGGGTGGAGGGTGAGTTAGTATCTGAAAAAGGGCATAGGGGGCTAACAGGATATAGGGAAATGTTCTGCTACTTGATCTAAGCATTATTTACATATGCCCATTCACTTTGTGAGATGTCGTTGAGCTGTCCTATTATGATTTGTGTGCTCCTACTTGTGTTATACTTAATAAAAAATTCAAACAACAAAAAAGCCTTTGCTGAATCTGGGGAGGGGTCAAGATGGCAGCATAGGTAGGGCAGCAGAAATCTCCTCCCAAAACCATATATATTTTTGAAAATACAACAAATACAACTATTCCTAAAAGACCAGAAGATACAGTACAACAGCCAGACTACATACACACCTGCAAGAACCCAGCACCTCACGAAGGGGGTAAGATACAAGCCGCAGCCGGGTGGGATCTGAGCACACCCCCCCACACCAGCTCCCCAGTGGGAGGAAAGGACTTGGAGCAGGAAGGGAGTGGGAGCCCAGGACTGCTAAATACACAACCCTAGTCATCCATACCAGGAGCGCAGACACACAGTGTGTGGTGTGCTGGATATTAGGGAAATGGAACAGTAAAATCTGCGAGTGGGTCCCTGCAGCCGGCACCCCTGGGACAAAAGAAAAGCAAGTGCTTTTTGAAAGTCTTAAAAGGACAGGGGCCTCACAGAAGCATCCTGGCACACTCAACCCAGCAGCTGGGAATCCCCAGGAACTACAGGCACTCTAACCCTCTGGGAGGCAGCACAGCTCTGAGGCCCCTCACAGCAATAAACAGCCTCCTGTCCATTTCCCCTCCGGCGCGGTCCCGCCATAGCAGAGGAGCAGCCGGAGAGCGGCCACGCCCACAGCAACTGCCCACAGCCTCCTCCGCAGCGGCCCGGGCCAGACTCAGAAGCCCTGTCGGCGCGCAGCTGCCCAGCACAAGCTGCTAGGGGTCGCTGTTCTCACAGGAAAGGAAGGCGACAAGCAAGCAAGAAGGAACTTAGTTCTCCTAGCTGACACATGCATCAAATGCCCACGACTACCTCTATCGCCATGAAAAGGCAGAACAATTTGATCAAGACCAGAATCACACAGACAACCCCTGAGAAGGAGCCTGAGGAGATAGATTTAACCAATCTTCCTGAAAAAGAATTCAAAATAAAGGTCATAATCATGCTGATGGACCTGCAGAGAAATATGCAAGAGCTAACAGATAAAGTTGGGAGGGAGAATACAGAAATAAAACAATCTCTGGAAGGACTTAAGAGCAGACTGGATGAGTTGCAAGAGGCCGTTACTGGAATAGAAATCAGAGAACAGGAACACAGAAGAGCTGAGGCAGAGAGAGATAAAAGGATCTCCAGGAATGAAAGAATATTAAGAGAACTGTGTGACCAATCCAAACGGAACAATATTCGCATTATAAGGGTAACAGAAGAAGACAGAGAAAAAGGGATAGAAAGTATATTTGAACAAATATTTGCTGAAAACTTCCCCAAACTGGGGGAGGAAATACTCTCTCAGATCCACCAGATGGAAGCACACAGAACTCCCAACACAAGAGACCCAAGGAGGACAACACCAAGACACATAATAATTAAAATGGCAAAGATCAAGGACAAGGACAGAGTATTAAAGGCAGTCAGAGAAAGAAAAAAGGTCACCTACAAAGGAAAAGCCATCACACTATCATCAGACTTCTCAACAGAAACCTTTCAGGCCAGAAGAGAATGGCATGATATATTTAATGTAATGAAACCAAAGGGCCG